AACCAGCAGAGTAATGAGTCAGTAAAGCGAGAACTGCTGACGATCTATGAGTCCTGGTCTCACGCGGTTTTCACTGCAGGTAAACTCGTCAAGCAAATGTAGGCCTCATTAGTCACCTATAAACTCTAACAGAACATAATGCCCTTATGTTAGGGGTCTGCATTGTTCTCAGTGGATAAACAACACTCATTTAAGTTAAATGCTGAGCTTTAATTTAAAAAAAGTAAAGATAAGGAGACCTATATGCTGCTAGCATGGCTTAAAAAATATCACATTTAATATCGTAGTTTGAAGAATATATACGCTGAGAAGTTGTGTTTGGATATTTAAATTAATTATTGCCTCAAATTCGAATTATTTGATTAAAGAATAAAGTAAAACAGGAATAAAAATCCTCCTTTTTCATACCAGATTTGATACTTTTTGATACCAGTGACACACGCATTACGTTCTGTTTTAAAACCTTTAATATAGACGTAGAACGACTGAAATGTTTGTCAAATGTTACCAAGTGTTACCCTTTAGTACAGATTGATTTTAACTCTCCCTCATGAGATTACAGGCTGTCTTAAAGGGAAAAGAAGAGCTATTCCTGGAGGTTTGGTCTCCTTTTCTCGATTATTTACCTGCAGACTCTCATAAGCCCATTTATAGGACACACTACATGACAGGGCTCCTGATAACTCACATACATATAGTGGACTGAAAGCAATACTTTACTTAAATCTATGAGATTAATTAACATACTTTTCTAGGTTTATTTATTCATTTTTCTTTAATCATATTCAGTTATTTCTCTGTTGTATGGCTGTCTGGGATGTGTTTCGGTGTGTGTGTGTGTGTTGTTCAAACTCAATATAAACTAGTTATTTATACAAGAATCACTACGATTAAATAAAATCTGATTAGATAAAAATATTAGGAACTCGCAGCTGGTGTTGACTGACTCATCTAACTGACGTCGGGTTAATTTATTGAGAACTACTGATTGACAAAAACACACACAGACACATTTGAACGGTTTAGCATTTGATTACCTCTGTTTAATGAAAAACAACCTATATTTATTAGCTTTGTACACTCTAATGTAAAGAAATATACATGCGTTTTCTTCCATGAAACCACACGAGCCAAATAAAAGTCTCAAATTTACTTAAATAAAACAACTCAGGACGCTCTCAGTTAAAGTTCTTTTCTCTGAGCTGAAATCAGTCGTCGCTCTGGCTTCAGATGGTTTTCAGTCTCTTCGTCTCCACCTGGTGCGTCGACGCCTCCTCCTGGTCTCTTTTGGCAACTCGGCCGGCGTCGGTCGTCCTCGGCTCGCTGTCCAACTCGGAGAAGTCCCCTCTCAGGTGCTTTTGCTCCCGCTCCCTCTTCTCCCTCTTCTCCTCCATCTCACCGATCTCCGTGGCGAAGAGGGTTTGAAGCGTGGGAATGAGCCTGGGGATGATTTTAAAGTCCCCGAAGCGAATCTGAGCGCAGAGGAAAATGGAGAAAAGGGTCATGTGACTCCTGAAGGAGTGAGGCTCATAAATACTGAGTCTGATCTTCCAGCGCACTTCTTCTCAGCCTCAGCATCCAAACAGAAAGAATCTGTCTTTATGCTTCAGGAAGAGGGACTCAGGAGGTCTGAAGCTCCACTTCCAGGTTTCATATGAACAGCAGCACAGAAACCAGACAGTATTTTCTTAAACAGTCTGTTACTGTTGACCTGTCTACTTCTCAGTGAAGCCTCGTCTGGATAAAAATCGATGCTCAAATATACTTTTATATCTCCTTGTACTCCATCTTGGTTTAATTCATTTTTATGTTGTATACGACTATTAAAAGCGGCCTTGTTGTTGCCACACGAATAAACTGACCTTGTCTGTTTTTATTTTTGAATTTGGAAGAAGAAAAAATGACACAGACGACATTTTACTTTGTCGAGCGACCGTGAACCTTTAAACGCACATTTTCACTGCTCAGAGGCAGCAAATAACTGGATGCAATTACATTTCCTTTAATTAAATACAAGGCTGAGTTCTACTGCAGTGACCCGAGTTCGTGAGGCCCTCTGCTGCATGTCGCCCTCTCTCCCTCCCCCCGTCTGTCCTGTCTCTCTCTACTGACCTGTCTCATAACATTAAATTAA